CACAGCTGGTCATCTTTCTCTTTTGTTTTGTCTAAAACTAGCCATATGTCATCAACAACTCTCTCATGTATATTGAACTTCCTTAGCACATCAGCTTGACTCTTTGAATGTGTTGCCTGATGTCTTCAAAGTGGTAAAACACAGAAAAGTGGGTCCTGCTGGTCCTTTGTTCATCAGACCAGCAAGAGACAGGAATATGGTAGAGATGGGGTGTTTAGACCCTTGGGCCATATCTATTCTAGCTTTGCTTTTTAATTTCTCTTTGCTTCAGTTCAACTGCCAGAATATGGCTCAAATGAGCTCTACATTCTGCAGTAGTAAGTATGGCTATCCTTTATCGATAGGGAAGCCCTAGGGCTACTGAGCACTCATGTCTTTGGTGTTAGATGGTCTATGGCAACTGAGATTCTTCAGCTCAGTCTGTCTGTCTAGGTGCTTTATTTGGTGCTCACCATTTTTAATATGGGTAGTCTTCTCTAAGTATTAAGGGACATATCAACAGGCTTTCATCTCAGAAAGTTAACATTAGTGCTTGAGAACCAAGGCAGTATGTATGTGTATAACAGAGAGGATATTTATTCTAGGAAGGCTAGATCAAACAGGTAAGCTTTAATGAAAGTTTGAAAAGTTTCTGGTTCAGGAGATACCTTAATCATTTCAAAATGCATGCTTAGTAATCTTGGTTCTGCAGTGGAGGTCCCTCTTCTCCTTCACCACTTAGGGTGGCATTATATAAAGAGATTGAAAAGGTTGTGATGTGATGAGTTATATCTTAGGTAGCTAGACCCACAATTTCAATGGAGCCCTGGTCAATGCATATTCTGTCAGGGAAATATGCTCATAGCACTTTCTGTTGCTGTTGAATTTTGAAACTTCTGGAATGTAAGTGGTTTCTCTTCTTCCTAAATGAGTAGCAGTCATCACATAGAATCAGAAGTGCATCCATTTTGGAGCTCAGTCCTATGTCTAAAGCATGGCCTTATCATCAGTAGATAGAGAACTAGGCATTTTGCAGCACTGGTATTTGACCATCCAGTAGCGCTGAAGAGTTCATGAGATACCCATGGTTACCTTGGCAATAAAGTGATGAGATATGCTCAGTAGAATGGGAATTTTTAGAGGTGGTGAGATTTTCAAAGCTCTTTCCTTTTTTATGAGCGTTAACTCATTTGTTACTGAGATTCATGTTTAAACAGACAATTAAGGAATGCTTTTAATAGGCTGAGAAAACTTAAAGGATGTCAGTGTATTCTTTAATCCTGCCATTTATAACAATCCATAGCATTTTGTACTCATTATGCTTTTTAAGGGTGAATAATTTAGATTCACCTCCTGATCAGAAACTCCCTTCTGTGTTCATTCCTCTGAATTCAGTTTTCTAAATAAGAAAATAAACTAATCTTATATGAAATTTTATAACCTATACCTCAGTCTGAGTAAAATTATTACCTACATATATATAAACTCCCAAGCCTAAAACCAAATCCAACTACGCTGGGCATAGATGGCACAAATACCATTGTTTATTATAATTTCATTTATTGGAAGCAAACTGACAATATTTATACAGAAAAAAAAAACCTTTAAAATAAAAGAGGACAACACTGAAGAGATATCATTAAGCAGATTAAAATCTTACCTTCACATTTGTGATGCATCACAAGCCTTAGATGTTCAAAGAAAAAGAAGTTCTGTGGTACCCTTCTCCAGTATATGCCTGTGTATTTAAGGCTGTAATGACACTAGTCTGCAAGAGATTCAGAAAGCAGGTAAAACTGTGACCTGTACCTTTAATTCCTCTCAGCTAGTTCCACACTGATGAAGTGATCTATCATCATTGCTACCATACTAGAGCATGTATTCCTACAAGAAAGTTTAGCCACTGCAGGGGTGACTGGACTAACATTGCCTGGCATCCAGCAGTGTACAGACTAAACTATACTTTTTAGTTAGAGAATATGGAAACTGACAACAAATTATTACTTGTGGTCTTTTTCCAGTTTTCAAGTGCAAACATACCAAAGTTTATTTTAAATCTGAGCCAGTCAGACATTTAGTAATATAGATCAAAGAAGAAACAAAGGCCTCCCATGCTTATTATTTCAATATGATGTCTGTTCTAATAAAGTGTAAGAATGCCTGTGATAGACTAACTAGTAGGAATTTTCTGGTTCTGTAGTTTAGCCTTAAATATATACATATATTTGTAAATTAATCAGAAACATATTGTCGTGGTTTCAGTTCCTTGGAAAGCTGATTGTTTTCAATCCTTTCTTTAATCTTAGAAATTTGGTGGCAGTCTGCCAGCACACTTTCAGATAAACAGTCCACTTCACATTTAAAAGCCGTAGAAACACTGATGTTGAAGGGGGGGAAAAAAATCAACAGAAAACATCACCAGCTCTCTCTTTCTCTCTCTTCCCCAAAATGTAGAACATTATTTAAATAAGTTAGAGTTGTTGTGCTATTGTCCCTCACTCTTAATTAGAAATAATAAAAGCCATCTGTGCAAGGTGAATTTTGATAAGATCTCGGCTTTTAAGTGTTTGTTGATCTTGTGTGTACCAATTTTCAAAT